CTGCAAATATTGTTTCCATGGTAACATTTCTGTTAGTAAAGAGTTTTCTCAAACAGTTTTTTAGCATCAATAACTGAATTTTTCTCCATTGGTTTACCAAACAGCGCATCGAATGCAGTTTTCACTTTAATCAACATTAGAGACTTGACAACATCACTGAAACGAAAAAATTAAAATTTGTTTTGTTTATGATTATTATTATTACATATAAGGAGAAGATATCTGTTTGTGAACAATCGAATAATTCTGAAAAAACTTTATTAGAAAATGAGGCAACTGATACTAGAAACAAAGTGATCCAATGTACTCTGTCCTCATTCTAAAAATCACTGGTGTTTCTTACTCAACTTTTCTGAAGCATTTCTGAACAACCTTATCAGTAAGTTCTCATTTTATTGCCGGTATATATGGATGACACCTTCATTCTTTGTGATAATGATTCTGATAGGAGTACAATAATTACTGAATTCAATGAAGTACATTCTGCTATGAAATTCACGTGCGAAGAGGAATCCCAAAACAGAATTTGCCTTTCTGGATGTCCTCCTTACAAGAAAACCAGATGGTAGCATAAAAAGAAATTTGCATAGAAAATGTACTTGGATAGGACAATAGACACATTTTCACAGCTTCATTCCTCTCAAGTACAAAGACCCTCAGCCAGAGAGTTAGGACTATATGCTCAGAAGAAGTAATTGAATATTAACTAAGCATTGTATATGATAGTTTGATTGTAAATAGCTATCCCGACAAATTTATCAAGAAACACGTGACAAAGAAAGCGGAAAAGGACTACTCACTATCCGTAAACAAGAAGCCTTTATACCTACCACTGCAACTCAAGGGCGATATACCAAGCGAAATAATTACGAGGAAATTAAGAAAATCAGTTCAAAGAAATTTTAATGCTGGCGAACGTAACGTATTTTTCTCTACACGACCGATGGTGTTACCTCGACTGGAAAATGAAGTACCTAGACTAGACTAGCCACTTCAAATTGTATCTACCATTTCAACTGCATTTGTGGTGGAGCGAGTTATATTGGCCGTTGCTCTAGGAACTTGATTTTTCGTGTTCGCTCGAGAACATCTCCCACTATGGCTAAGTAAAGGTGTAGTTAAAACCATTAACAGTTCGATATTGGACCACCTGATAGCAAACCGGCCACAAAGCCAGCCAGAGTAGAAGAATCCCTCTCTATAATCTACCGGGTGCCTAATAAATTACCAAAATCATCGAGGCACCGCATGCTCCAAACAGCAGAGGCTATTGCAATTCGCCTCAAACAACCAGTGCTCTGTGCCCCTAATACTGCCCTGGCTGTCCTTCAGTAGGGACTATAAATTCATGAATTTGTAATATTATCTTTCCTGATTTTTCTGACATTCAGTTTATTTTATGTTGATGCCACTGAACTGTAATCTATTAATATTATTATTGATTCAATGTTATTTAAACAACATTAATGTTGTTCATAACACTAATTCATTCATTCATTATAATTTATATATAACTGTAGAGCCTGATGATGAAGGGGTTGCCGAAAACAGTATTCTTTGTTCCGTATCCATTTTTTCGAAAACTTATTAAATCTCTAATAGCAGTGTTGAACAATTAGACTTTGTTTACCCTAATAAAATCTAAGTGTTTTCCAGAAATTTGAATGATGTAAAAATGAGTATTAATCAGAGAGAGAAAGTGAGAGAAAAGCCATCAGCCAATCAACTTCAAGATACGCCCACGTATGATGTATTGAATAATCAACCATTAAGGTAAGACCTCTGTAGAATGGCGAATGCTACAAATATCTAGGCAAAATCAGCCTTCTTAGCTTTTATGTGAAGTATTCAAATACACTGTAAGTATTAATTCAAATGATGTTTGGAGGTATATCTCAAATCTTACTATTTATTATTTCTTTGAGTTCCTAGATGAACATAGGGCTTCATCAACACATCTACACCTTGACCTATTTTCTCCTGCCCTCTTCAGCTGTCTGCTCCTACGATTACCTATAATCTCTTATCTCTTCATCCTCCCCAGACGATCTTTTCCATGTCGCCCTCGCACTAACGACCCACTCGTCACTTCCCAATCGGATTCCACTCGGGCGATGGCCTGCATTGCTCACGATGTCATTCGACGGACTGGATTACACTGACTTCTAGCTTAAAGACAGGCTGAAGTGAAGTGGTTTGTGGAGCGTGTTGACCACTTCACTTATTTGGGAAGTTGCATCACCCAACGCCAGTGGGTTGATCGCTGAAGAAATCTTAGCATAGATACAGAAGGCTGGTTTGGCATATGCCTGACAACTTACGCCATCTCCGGCTTAGTAGACATGATATCCAGCTGGCTGGCTGGTTGGCTGTCGAACAAAGGACGTGCATACTGCTCAGGAGTTCACTCCACCTTCCTTTATGGCTGGCTGTAGGACATGGCCCTCAATGAAAGTGGAAGACATAAAAAGCCTGGCTAGCTGGCTGTCTTTGATCATAGGTGTCTGCATTCTATCTCCCGTGTTATGTGGTATAATAAGGTGAGCAATACTGAGGTGAGGCATCAGTCAACTGCTAGTTAAGGAGGAGGGAAAATCTATTGACGAGGTTGTGAAGCAAGTGAATTGATTGAGAAAGGTGGTTAAGATATGTGTTACGCATGCTTAGCCATCGATCGCCTTCCTCGACGTGCGATATTAGCTGATATAGGATGGATGATGTTGGAGAAGAGCTAGCATGTGGTGGTCAGACCAAAATATGTCTTCATCAGTCAATGAAATAAATCCACAACAGCTAGTTCAAGCCAGCCACGTGGGGAGGGAGGTGTAGATTTCTTGACTGGTTGGGGTCCTCGGGATCGTAAAAACCAATGTAGGGTGGAGACAATGGGTGATATGGCTCAAAGTCGTTCTCAGTGATGGTAGGAGCATATGAAAACACTCTTTGTGATTTATAATATCCAATAAAATTCTATCGTTCTTTTATATTACTATCCCTCTTTCGAATCTCTCTCTACTCTCTTTCTGTGCTTTGTGCGCTACATGGAGGGACTGTGGCAACTGGAACTGCTGCACATGTTTGAAAAGTTCCACGTTGAAACCAGTCAGTCAAAGGCTGAAACTTTGTACCTTCATATTACTAGGCCTAGCTCGTTCATCACTCAGTCATCTGAGCCGGGATCCAGTGGCCCATAAATTCTTACTTTCATCAATCTGAGAGAGAAATAGTGAGCGGGTCACTATTTCCTTTTGCATATATACACATACGGATAGTGAGAAATATACCTTTCGTCTCATGTCGTTGTGTGTTCTCGCTTAAATAATGCAGGATGCGGGAACAGGTAGTTGTTGCTTAGTTGCTTAGTGATATGTCGTGATCACCAAATATTTCACAAGCTCGGCGTCCTTATTCATTAGTCTCAACGTTTTGCGAAACATAATGCCTTTAGATTCCGTCCTAGGTGGCTGAATGACCAACAAGCTTGGCTTCATAACCTTAAAGTCATCGAAAAGTCATTGAAAACCATTATCCATCCCACCGAGGATTAAACACAAGAACTTCACCTTAAGAAGTGATCCTGTCACCCATGAGGCAGTGAATCAGAATCCAATAGAATCGAATCGACAGGTACCTGTCCGCTTACCCACCTCGTAACCTGTTGGTCCTGAGTTTACTTTCCAGTAGAATCATAGACACGTACCGTTTAATAGCTGCACAAACTACAACGAAACAGCTTTTCAGCACTCTCTACTGGTTTTCAATGGTCCTCTAAATGACATCAATACTTGATAACAATTCAAACAAATCCAATTCCGAACAAAAATAGTTAGAGTGGACAATTGTGGTTTCATTAAAGTTACTCTTCTTCAGGCTCTACAATTATTGAAATCCATTAATTTAAGCTTATAATAGTCAGTAAAAACTGAGCTTTCCTGGTAATCTATCTAGAGGTGCTCGACTTCGTCTTCTGTCAGTGGCTGAATCGGTAGCAATCAACACCAGAAGACGGGATCTTTGTTTACAGAAGAAGTATGTCCAACCGCTATGTTTACTTTGGCCTACAATAAGGCCAACAAATCCTCAATAAACATTAGCACTTTAAATTCCTATCGCAAATTTTCTTCTTTTCTTCTTTGTTCCATTGATAAATGTTCATTTCTGACCTTTTACGACTTCAGGACCTTTCTTATGATTTCTGTTACCTTAGGTTTAAGTAATGCTTTTCTAACTTGTTGTCATATTTACAAAGTTCTGTTCATTTCACTTCACTAAATTCATTATTATTATTACTATTATTATTATTATCATCAATATTATTTGATAATCATTCACTAATAGTACTTTTAAGTTTTGATGATATTAGATGGTTGGAGGCAATCGGCCACAAGAAGCTTTGGACACCATCTAGGTTTCGTGCTGGTTGGCATTCATCAGCAAGGCGTATCTGCAACTGCCTTGAAGGAACTCATATCCCTTTTGAGATTCGGACCCACGTGACCCAGTGCTGCAGTCAGTCAGAGACGTTACCACTGAGCTATTCGGGTTCGCGATTGACCTCCTGTAGGACCGTAGTGTATATGTTGATTGGACACTAGTCAGTTTCTCGAATCAGTACAGCATAAGTGCAATCGGAATGGAGAAACTCAACGCCTATCTATATCGGAGATAAGGAAAGTGGCAACAAACAACAGCGTGGAGTTGAAGAGACAGAAAGAGAGAAAATATATACATAAGACAAATTGCGGAACAGTGTGACTAAAATTGATATGAGATTATGACTGAGCAATAATTTATGCTTGAAACCTTGTCTGTCATCCAGTTGTTAATAATACAGCATCATCATCACCACCGTGTGTGATATTTAAAGTAAACTTATCTAATATGGAATTACATTCCACCACAGTGCCGAAGTTTTACACTCACATTAAGATATAAAAAGTATAGACTATAAGCTGACATAAGGTATCACAATATATAACATATAACCAAAATCAACTTACTAAACAGTTTTCAAAACTGATCTACAGTATTTTTCAAAAAATATAGGAGAAAATTGTAGATTTTAGTCTTGTTTAAAAAACAAAATTTCAAACAATGCAACAACGTACTCTCATGTGCTAATAAAATGGCTTATATATCAAGAAAAAGTTCATCATCTAAGAGATTTCTCCCTGTTGACTGAGTTCCAGTGATTAGGTCGAAACAACTGTTGTCAATGCTGCTGGACAATGAATCGTTTTCAAGAATCAGTTTGTAGGGATTCTGTTTGTTTCGGGCTAGAACACCGATTGATATCAGTTAGAGAGAGAATCATTGACAACCCGCTGGGGTTCGAACCCAGGACTTTCCGGTTAAAAGGCCAGCAAGCTCGTATGCCATTCAGCCACTGGGACCCGACTTAATGGCTAGCCCATGAATTCTAACTTCTACCAATTCGTAATATTGACGCAACTACCAACCATTGTCATCGTCGGGAGCTCCATCCTCACTCCCGACTGGATGAACCTCACTGGTCATGAATTCTCACCAGACCTACAGGCAACTTCGTCTTGTATGCAGTTACCAGCGGGCATCAGATTAATTTAAAAGAATTATTTTGTAGGGATTCTATCTGTTTCAGGGTGAATACTGATGATGATTCCCGAAGTACGATGAAACAGCTGTCCAGTTCCCCTGGTTTTCACTGGTTCTCTAACTGATGATATCAGTCCGTGGTGTAACCTGAAATGAATCGTTTGTTTGTTAGAAATGGTCTCCATATTAGCGGGAGACAAGAAGGCTGTCATTGCTTAATCGTGTATTGGTTGGAAAAATACTATCAGAAGTATTGTTCTACGTTATATTAACCTTTATTTACAGACTTTGGCACTGATTAATCACTGTAAATCTGTTTCATTATCTCATACAACCGGTTCCCTTTATTAGTTTGAAGAGAGAAAGAACGAACATGTTTGTATCCACAAGAACATAAAAAAGAATCACAGGTGCATTAAAAAGAACGTTTCTAGCCACCAGACTGATCCTAATTCACAACACTGTGTGCTCGTTAACCCAGTCAAAAGTAGATGAGTACACTACTCACGTCAACTCCAACTGCATTTACCAATTCACTTGCACTTGTGGAAGTAAGTACATAGGAAGGACTGAGAGGAGAGCATCCACTAGATTTTCTGAGCACATTCCTAAGAGTCTCTGTACAAAAGGAACAAAAATGTTATCGAGTGCAATCGCCAGACACTTAATTGACACAGGACACAGTAGAAATTAGCCAAGCCTTCAAAATAATCAATACGCAAAGAAACCCATTGCTACTTCGTTTCGTAGAAGCCATTGCTATCAAGAGACTTCGACTAGACCTCTGTATACAGAAAGATAGTGTGAATAATCTTTCACTACCCTGGTAACCCTAATTCTATTTTATTTTTGTTTACTTTTTTGTCAGTATGCCTGTGTGTTTGTCTTCAATTTTGACTTTCAAGTTTCTAAATCTACTTAATTGTCTGTTTAAGTTAAAAAAATGTTACTTCACTATTCACCCCCACCCTCTTAAACTCTCCAGCACAAGATGCGTAAATTTACTCTGTTTTCTGACCCTGACCCTGTAATATTCCTCTAGCCAATCTGTGTTTTCCAATAGAAATCTGAACTCTAACCCCTCTTATCTAATTCCACTATATATAATTAGTTTTTTTTGACTCTGAATAATCTGTCTACCTACGTCAAATTCTGGAATTATGTTCCTTATACCTTCTATAACTCCAAGTAATTATGAAAAGTATGTTTTGAAACTTATAATTTGATTTTGTTTAGGATGTATGCAGTTGATGAGTATTATCCTGCAAACATGTTTCATTATCGTTTGAAGAATACACAGTCGTGTTGTCCAACCGTTTCCTGTTGTTCTGCATCGGTTACAGTGTATAATGTTCTGCGTATCAAGCTTAGTATTCTGAAACCAGAGATAAGTCCAGGATCTCTGCGATCTGGGTACTTGACATATGTCTTGTACTGAATGGTTTTCAAAGTCTTTTAACTATCCAAGCTCAGATTTTGTATGTTTTATTGCTCTGTATTTTAACATAAGCGAAAATATCCTCAATCGATCCAGAATAGAGGAGAAGCATGATTATGCTTCGTTTTTCCATTCCTTTGAGTCCCGAATGGAATACCGAAGTTCATACGCTGAAGTTTCGAATATCGGTGGTGTTGTTTCTAGACAAAGCAATCAGAAGACGTAATTTGTCTGAATTGCGTAATGGTATTTGCGCAACAATTATTTCGAACAGTCTGATCACACAAGCAGTAATCAAAGGAATATATATGCGAAAATACTTAAGAGTTAAGAGGTGAGGAAACAGACTTAGGTCAAGTTTAAAGGATATATTGAAGGTGAAAATAACAATGAAGATCATCACTAAACCAAATAAGAGAGGGAATAGTACGTCTACCCTGGCTAGTATCAAAACAAAGTTTGCCAGGGAAAGTTTACAAAGCATAAACTTCCTAATTGCCTGCTGGGGCTTCCACAAACTTTAGGATTCATCCTACCCCAAACACACTCTATATAGGTTTAAAAGAGGTGTGGAAACATCAGTGTTATGTCCTGTCTCCTCTTAAATATGTTTCACAATAGAGGAGCTATGTCGTCGTCTGTTCTCACCATGAATGCGTTCTGGGGATTCTATTTGCTTCTGAAGCCATTTAAGAGTATGCTGTGAGGCCAGCTCTTATTTGCAGACATCGATGAGTCCTTCCTATATATGTGTATCCGAACGTATAATTAAGCGGATAAATATAGTGGGATGTTACATCATTTTCCGCCTGTTCTAAGGGCGTGGACTGATGTACGGGCTTCACATTCTCAATTATTTTGATCCTTGTTTTCTTGGGAGAGGCTGAAAGCCTTAAGACCAACCTTCCCTCTTTTTCAGACTTAATACCGAATAGCCGAGTTCTAGGAGTTTGTTGCCACGTGATTGGTGAACATTCTAGCAGCAAACTACCAACACATGATTAGGCTTAGTTGAATGTATTTTATTTTTTTAATACCATACACACTACTGACTAACTCAGATAAGTAGTTGCCAATCACTTATATCAACCAATAGTATTTGCTAGCCATATCGAAGTGACACAAAAAACACTTGAAAGCCATTTTGCTAGTTTGGGGGCCGTTCTCATCAGCGGTCAGCCCAGTTTGACTCGGTTCAAAGAAAAACTCTGATGAGATATCACCTCGAACTGTGTAAATAGCAAAATGGTGAAAATTGATTTCCGATAATAGTTGGCATAGCTAACGGAATTAATTTCTTATAGGAATCTATCAAAAGATGACTGTAGTTTTAGTGTCGGTTTGTGCCCCCGCTTTAAACTTCGATCCAGTGATAGCCTTCCTATCACAATACAAACATTCATGAACGACTATAGCGGAATTGGACACAGTTATACAGCATAACTCAAACACATAATCAAATCCATAATATGCACACTCCACATTTCGAGGTGAGAATCCACCGCAGCTCCCTTTGGAAATCTGAATATTTGGATCAAACTATGTGACCCGTTTGACAGTAAGTAAGCAAGCTAGCGAGCATAAATACATTGTGCTATATACTACTGGTTAGTTAATATTGTGGTATATGCTACTGATAAGATTTATCAGTAGTATATAAACAGACGTTCATCGCAGCACACAAAAATATCAAATAGCAGGGAGATAGATTTGTCATCAAAGAGAGCAAATGATCCAGCATTTCTGAAAATCATGGGAAACCCGAGAAGAAGACAAAAAAGACAATAAGAAAGGAGGGCAGAATTAGCACAACACAGAAGATCTGTGCAATTGATGCATTGAAGATAAGGCGTACATCATTTTGGTGCATTTTTGTAAACAAATTTCGATTTTCAAAGCCACGCTTTTAACCAACTGCCAGTATCTGATAACTTTTATTAAAGTCAGGCAAGACACAACACTGTGTGCTTTGGTGGCACAGAGGTAGAATGCTCGCCAACCACGCATGCGGCTCGGGGTTCGATCCCCGCACTGGACGCACTCCTTTACCGCGCTAGGCTAGTAATCAGACTTGTAAAGAGAGAAGGTTGGGAATGAGGCGGCTAGCAACCCCATCCCGTAAAAATAAAAACACCACTGCTACTGAAACTTTAAAGCTCTAGCTTGAAGGCGCCCTATGTTCCACCACTGGGAACGTGAAGGAATTAAATGATAGTATTAATCAATAAAACGGCATTGCAACAACAGAGCATGGAAGTTCTTTTCACTTCATCGCCATTTCCTTTTCATCATAAAAATTATTTTTTAAGAAAACAGATCCAGTTTCATACCGAATGACAATATGCTCATTAATTCATTGTAACTTACGGTTTAGGTGGCGCTTTAAGAAAAACAAAATAGGGATAAATTTAAGTTATTCGAATTTAGGCGGAAGTAAGGCTGTTATCAGTTAGAAAGTTAACGACATTGTTGAACAGTTCAAGTTCAGGATGCATTCAGCGAAGAAAAATATTCTTTTTTTCAACTACTTCATTTTTGTCCAGTGATGGTTGTCCTTTAAATCCAGATGAAATTACGAAGGCATTCAAGCTGTGTCTACGCTCCACGTTATTAACATTTAGAGGGGTTCTTTACATTCAAACAGAAGGCATTACTATGGGATCACTAGTGTCTCGCTTAGTAGCCAACCTGTTTATACACTCAGTTAGAAACAAATGCAATTATGAGATGTTCTAATCCTCCAAAAATGTGGATAAGATACACGGGTGATACTTCCGTCATAATTAGACGCAGTATGTTGAATGAACTTTTTCATTTAATAAACAATATGTCAGAAATAATTAAGTTTTCAAAAGAGGTTGAATCCAATGAAAATGATTTGGCATTCCTGGATTAATTAGTAAGAAGACAACCAGATGGTCAACCTAAAATACACTTTCAGAAGGTTGACACATTCGGACAGATACATAGACTATATCTTATTATTATTGTTTCCTTTAATTCCTAGAGGAGCATAGGGCTTCAGCCGCACGTCTCCATTGCGTTCGGTTCTCTGCTAGAGTCTTCACCTGGCTCAAAGTCTGCCCACACGTTTTCATCTCCTCTTCACATCACCTCCACCAAGTCACCCTTGCACTGACGACCAACTCGCCGCTTCCCTTTCGGGTTCCACTCGAGCAATGGCTTGTCTGGTGATGTCACTTGATGGTTCCCTCAGAGTATGGCCAATCCATCTCCATTTCTTCTTGCCTATTTGTTTCACAATCGGTTCCTGGTTGGTTTGCTCGATCACCAGGATCTCTGATGCTGATCTTTTCTGGCCGGCCATCTGATCTTGAGTAGTATTGAGCGAAGACAGCTGTTAATGAAGGTCTGTAGTTTGTTTGAGGTGCTTTTCATGACGCACCAAGTCCCTGATCCGTATAGTAGCACTGACTGACTTCACATTGGAGTTGAAAATCCGGATCTTATTTTTGATTCTGAGTGCTGTCGACCTCCACACAGACTTCAGAGTAGTGAAAGCTTGTCTTGCTTTCCCGATCCTTGCTTTGATATCCTCGTCAGTTCCGTCCGCCTGTAGTTGAAACGATGCTTCGTAGGTAGGTAAAGGAGGTAGTTTCTTTCAGGTTCCTTCCATTTATGCTGATTGTTGTCTGTTGTTGTTGTTGTTGCTGTTGGTGGTGTTACCCAGGAATCTTCATCACCTCTGTTTTCTCTATGTTCACCTGAAGTCCTATCTTTGATGCTTCTTCTTCTGTGAACTTGTTGCTTTTCACTTGCATATCTTCCAGTTTGTGGGAAATCAGACATATATCATCGGCGAAGTCCAGATCCTCCAAGTTTTTTGTGTGAGTCCATTTTATGCCTGTTTCCCCATTGCCCACTGTTTGTCACATTATCCAGTCTACTGCAATCAGGAAAATCATTGGCGATAGTAGGCAGCCTTGTCTTACTCCTGTCCTCACTTCAAAGGACTATATCTTAGCTCATACTTTTTCCACCAAAGTAACTGTGGCCAACAATCTGATTACACACAGACAAACGTCTAGTTACTGAGGAGGAGGAGCAGGAAGAGATCAGCAGAGAACTACAATTGGTTCACTCCACTCTTGAATCAAATAATTATCCCAAAGTCTTCATAAAAAGATATTTAAAATGTGAAGATAAGGATGAATCGAAACCTGTTGCTAAGAATTGGGTTAGTACAGTGGTGTGGCAGAAGAAGCAGAGGAGACGGGACTTCAAGTGATTACAGAGAAGACGGAGATGATGAAGATAACCAACCAACCAGCCAACAACAACACCAACAAACACCAATCACAGTCAACGGAAGAGATTTGAAGGGAGTCACATCTTTCACTTAGCTAGGTAGCATCGTTTCAACTACAGGCAGCTGACACGGATGAGGATGTCTAAGGCAGCCAGGATCGAAGAAGCAAGAGAGGCATTCATTGTCACTTATTGGTTTTGTAGCGATTGTGTTTGATTGGTTGAGGGGATTTCATCATGAGTGAGCTGACATCAGATAGAGAACTACTGGAAAACCACCACTCGAGGACTGGACAGCTGTTTCTTTAGCCTAGTTTGGGACTCTTCAGAAGTACGCACCAACCCCACATGCTGAAAATTCCATACTTGTACTGTAAAGAAGAAAAGACCGAGGAGGCTGGAAGGAGTGATAACTTGGTGAAACGTATTGTACATAGGTAAATTGGTATACCATATTTTCAAACCGCCATTTGCACATCATTTACCACATCCTTGACGGATTGGTCGAATATCGTCACATTCGATAGCTTCTTGGATTCTGCATCATATGGCAACATTCTTCTCATAGTTCTCTTCTTTGATTGCTCTTTCCAGTGTGCAAAACATATTGTTACTTTTCTGAATTCGCTTTCTGATATACTACTTATATCGGATTATAAGTAGCACTCACCACAGTACCAAAAATACGGTGTGGAATCAAGCTATAATTAAGGTACCGCATACTCCAAGCAGCTGAGGCCGCTATCGCAGTTCGCGTTAAACAACCAGTGCTCTGTGTTCAAAAGAAGAAAGTCCGGCCAGCCACTACTACTGCCCTGGCTGGCTTTCAGTAGAAACTATAAATTCATGAATTTGTATTATTATTTTTCCTGCAGAACCTGATGAAGAGCAGGTTATCGAAAAGAATACTTTTTGTTCAGTTTTTCAGTTTTCTGAAAATTTTAAGGGGTATTTTTAATCAGTTAAAAAAAGATTTTTACTACTCAACTTACTGGTAACAGTCACTGCAATTATGTAAAAGGTAAACATAAATTTTTGTATTATTTTTTGGGACAAACAATATTTGCTAACTGCAAAATAGTAGTAGTAGTAGAGAGAAAACCTCAGTGGACAAAAATTTACGTCGGTGTTTACGTCCCCAAACGGCGTCATAAGGAAAAACAATAACAAAGATTAACCTTGAGGAGCTCAATAACCAGTCACAGTAGACTTAGCGTGGACAAATACCATTCGCAGATATGTGGCTTAACTTTCTGAAAAATGGTCATAAGCAGTACAGAATAAACTTCATCAAGAAAACGACAAACCAGATGTTGCTTCTTTGCTAAAATAACGAATATAATGTACATAAAAATCTATAAATATCTGTTGATTTTCTCAATAAACGATCTGTTGCCTGGCCCTTGTCTTCTGTTGTTACGTTAATAGTATATCTTTATTATGTGTTAGTAGTTTAAGTTCTTCTTTATACTGTTTTGTCAGAAGACTTTAGATTTTTGGTTTAGCGTTAAGGCATTGATTGCCAGAATTACTGATGTTAGATTTGAAGCACTGAAAATCCCGGTCAGACGATGGTATAAGATCGTAAGTTTGACTGAGCAGATTCCCCAAGTATTGGTTTGTAGATATTTGGTTGATTCGTCACAGGATTTCATCATGAGCTGATATCATTTAGGGAACCATTGGAAAACCATCTGGGAGTATTGGACAGCTGTTTCTCTAAACTAGTTTGCAACCCACACCACTTCCAGGACTCGAACTCAGGACCTTCTGATTACAAAACGAGCAAGCTCGTAGACCATTAAGCTACTGGGACCCACCAATCCAATGGCCAGTCACTGCATGAACTCTAACTTCTGCCAATTCACGACATAGCGCGACCACTAGCTAATGTCTTCGGTGAGTATTTGTCCTCACACCTGACCTGCTGTACCCTACTGGTTGATCACGACTTCCCAGTAGAACCCAGGTAACTACCTACCTGAATAGGGCCAGTCACCGCTAGTGAGCATCTCATCGATATTCAAGTATTGGTTTGTAGGGATTTGATTGGTTGGTTACAGGATTTCATCATGAGATGACATTGATTAGAGAAGATTCTCACACCAAACATGTATATGCAGCTTGTTGACATTGAGATTGACACCGCACAACATCAAACCCATAGACAAGGCTTCTCTTTGCAATTTCGATGGGGATATAAGAGTATGACTGAGCGTGTATCTCCCAGGATTGTCAGGAAATTTCCGAAAAGATTCGACAGATTTTCGGCTAATAGATAGTTTAGAATGGTTAGACAGTGTATGTTTGTTGGTGACCACGTTCACATACTCATTAAACGTCTGACGTTTATCAATTTATAAGTCATATAAAGCAAGAGATCTTTGTGCAATATACCTTTCTAAATCACGGATACGTGAACTAATATAGTCAATGTGATTAAATGTGTGCCTGTTGACAGACTTTGCTTTAGGATGTATGCAACTGCATCGGAGCGTATCGGATACTCATGATTGTTAACGCAGTCATTAAGAAAACAAATCTCCGCATTCCCTACAGCAAGTCTGACAGAGTAAAGCAGAAACCCATTAAGTTCTTTTACAGTCGGGGGATCCTTGCCATCTTTTTTAATTCATGGAAAATACCTTTTGGGACATACAGAAAATTAAAACAAGTGATTCAGCGAAGAGACTCTTTTCAACGAATTTATTATCAAGCTCTACACAAGATGTGGATAACACTTCACCTATTTTAGCATATGACTGGAATAATCCTTAATTCAAATCACTTAGTGCTAGTCTGTACCAAAAAAACTACCCATGCGACGTGTGCTACTGATGAGATTTATCAGTAGTATATAAAGAGACGTGAAAAGGAAAACGAAGAAACGCAACAATATGAAGGGAGGACAGAAGTAGCACAAAGGAATATCTGTGCAAATACGATTTTAGGAGATAAGGTGTCCATAATTTGGCTATTTGGAGATTCCAAAATGCTAATACACATCCGTTTACCAGTACTCTCGTCTTTTACCGTTACACCCGTAGATATTCGCTAATTAAACAATATTTAAACAAGAATTATCCAGGAGGATACTCATATTATCCAATGTATTCATGATAGTTCATTTTTTTGAATGCATAGACTAACTTACCTATTGGCTCTTCAGTTGCTGAAAATTAATTCGAAAATATAAACCATAAAAATTTTGTCTCAGCTGACTGACGTATACGAAATGCAAAATACTGTTCACAGGTTTAGTCATGAATTGACTGACAACAGTTAGAGAACCATTAGAAAACCAAAGAGTACTGGACAGTTGTTTCGTCCCAATTTAAGACTCTTCATCGGTGCACATCCATTGCCAGCATTCGAACCCATTCGACCATTCAGACACTGGAACATGAGCTTTCTTTGTAACCGGAAGGTCGCAGGTTCAAACCATGATAGGTGCATACTGTGAGGAGTTCCGAACTAGGACGAAACTGCTGGCTGCCCTGTACTCTCAGGTTTTTCAATGGTTCTTTAACGAATATCAGTTCATGATGAAACCTGCAACCAGTCAAGTCTCTGAAAACCAACACTTTTTAATAAAATACATTGTACCAAACCACTGGATATCTACTCTAGTGATATACTTCAGCTACAGGAAATGAAAAATAACCAGCCGATCTCAAAATTTCTCCAAAAGAAACACATTTTAGTGTCATAAGAATCACTTTTATTGGAAACATTGCTAGCCTAATTGATAAAACTTCATGTCAAAACATTAAACTGAACAATTACAATGACTATCTTGTACGCAGAAAGCAGTTTGTAACCAAGAATAGGTTTTAGTAATTGTTTCGCTAACTTTGCCACTGAATGCTCTGGGTTAGAATTTTGAAGTGAGCATAAATTTATCCGAGGTTTACGGTAAACCTTGCTGTTGAATTTTATAAAGCACAAAGCCTAATCAGTAAACGGTTTGTTAATGATTGGTCCCTAACGTCTAACGTATCATACACTCACATACACTACGGCGGCCTGCTTAAAACTTGGCCTACCAAAAGACTTCCATCTCTCTCTCTGTTGCATACATTTTCTCTCCTTCGGTTTGTTTTAATCGATTAAGATATGACCACTCTAATGGTATTATCTACTCTTGTGAGTGTATTTTAAACTGTTTACAAGCTTCCGAATTGCAATTTCCTTCTAAACCTGAGGAATAGCCTGATTGTGGGTGGCAACGTATCCCAATATATGAGAGAACGTAGATTTGTGGATGGTGACTAGCAGTAGAATCCAGGATGCACACTTCGTCTTTGGTAGACTCCATCAGTGAGATTTCCACGACTCACCATCATAGAACGCAAAGCTATCACAACATGGCACATACCACTGCTCTTCAACAGGCCATATTGATTTAATTATTAGTTTAAATTTTCCGTCGCTTGATTGGACCGAAGTGCTCGGTCTCAGGTTGACAGGTTGCTTCTTGTATACTGTTTACTGTCTCTATTATGCATTTCCTTTACTTTCTTCTCTCGCTTTGTGTGCTACATGAAGGGAGTGTGCGACTTCAACTGCTGCACATCGATGCAAATTTCTATATCAAAAACAGACAGAACTACCACTACCAGTCAGCGACTGTCCTCAAACGCACCAATGTGTATGGAATACACATATTTATGAAAAAAATGCATAGAAACTGTATAAAAGTGTTACAGAGGATACCTTCCTCTCACATGTGATAAAAATAGCTCCCACTTTTAGGTTGGGGTATCAACAGAGTGTAATTCCATTGTGGGTAATATTTGCTTTGATAAAGTCTCATAGTGTTGTTATACAGTAATATATACACTGAGCAAAAATTGTGCTCGAAACGTTGTCATCAGTAAATATTACTGTATAACACTGTGAGACTTTATCAAAATAAATTTTACCCACAGTGGAATTATACTCTACCACCACAGTGCACAAGTTCTATTCTTATATCAACAGAGTAATTTAACCACATTCTATGCATGTAATTATTTAGGTCTTCTAACCCTAACGTGAAAATATCCCTAAACTAACTGTAATCTAACTCGAACCAACCCTAATGTCGCCTTTATTAGGTTAACCTAACCCTAACTTGTCCTTGGCTTAAAGCGTAACTTAATCTTTCCCAAACCTAAGCTGAAACTTGCCAGATATCCCATTTAATAGCATAACACTTCGATGAGCATATTTTATTGATGATGACAACATTATTTGCCAGGTTTCATTAACTTGCTCAGAGGGAGTTTCAAGGTCACTGGTGTGGTATCATGTCACTGAACCATCAACTCACAAGTTTAGACATATTTTTTTAATATTTTTGATTACAGCTTGATTCCACACCGTATTTTTTGGTACAGGTATGGAATTTTCAGCATGTGATATCGGTAGCCCAAATTTTGCAGGCCGACCATAGATATCAGGTGTGCGTCGGCAGGGGATTGAACCCCGGACCATGTGCATGATCGGCGAAAGTCCTAACCACTTTGCTACGAATTTTACCTATTGGGAAAAGTTAGTTGAAAAACATCTGTATTATCTCTTCACCAGCTAATACTCTTTAAATAGGCTACATCAAAGTGTGTATTTTAAAACTTACTTGTTACAATCACTTCTGAAAGAATTTGAGAAAAGAAGAGCATATTTGAAATATTTAAATACTTAAATTCACGAATTACAATGAGAAATATAGTGAATAGTGTGTCTGAACACTTGATATTGAAGAGACTAAAACATTTAAGCCGTTCACAATTATTTGGAAAAGCTAAGCTGTGTTCTATAACAGTTAATTATCTGGTGAGAGCTGCCTGTAAGCCGAAATTGTAGACAGCAATTTCGTCAATGTTCACGTCTCGAATCAGGATCATAAGAAAAAATCAATAACAAAGCTTAACCTTGAGGAAGTCAACAACCAATCACAGAAGACTTAACGTGGGTGGATACGATTCGCAGATATATGGTCTGACCTTCAAAGAAACGGCCACAAAGAGATGACAGAATAACCTTGAGCAAGAAAACAACCAATCAGAAGAGGTTGCTTCTCCCTAACATAAGCTAATAATAATGCAAATAAAAATCTATAAATACCTAGCCCTTGCCTTCTGTGACTTCAGTAGTACGCAGCTATCATTATTTTTGGCTACTCATTACATCAGTGTCAGTCTGCTAAACTAAGGCTGGTTTTCAGACAGTATAATTAAAAACAAGGGACATTTACTTTATAAATTCAGATTGCATGTTTTACTTATACCTAAGTAGACTATTTGTCAATCACAATTACCGTTATGGTCATGACGACTTCAACAGATTGTTCTGGATATCTGTTCATATGTAATAATTTTTCTACTTTCCAGAATATCGGTTGTGCAGCCGTTTCTAGTATGAAATACCAGGGCACTAACAAATACGTCCTGGCTTGCTTAAATTGTCTCCCATAATAAATTGATCACATTTATCATGCAGTCAGGTGGACATAATATTTACATTCTTTTTAAGCTCAGATTTCTATTTTATTGATTTCAATTTGACTTATTCATAAATACGATTTTAGAGTACAAAGCCATACAGTCAAAGAAAAACTTAATATCATAAAATTAATGGCAACTAAACAGTCTAATCTAAAATGTAACATGGTTTAATAATCACTGACTAAGCTGGATAGTTAATTTGCGAAGCTTTCATCGCCCTACTAGCGCTTAGTTCAATTTATTGAAGTGAGCTTTTAGATTTCTCCACAAGTTTATTAGTCATCTCTCCTGGTGGGCGCCTTGAACGTGACTTGGTTGTTTTTGTGTGTTTTCACACCCTCTAGGCTACTTGTATTGGAACTGATTGTTTCCTTGACTTGAACTTTGACCCTTTGTGTGTGAGATTCTCTTCTTATCGGTTGGTAAATTTTGTCTATGTCAATGTGTCTATTGATTGATGATTCACTGGAATACCAGGCTTCTAAAAATTCTCTAGCATTCTTGTTGTTTCCTCTGTCTAATATTTGAACGCTGGTTGTCCCAGTCGAATTGATGTCCGTGGTTGTCTGTATGCAGTGAGGCGATATGAGTAGGGAGTGGATGTCATGTCTTTTGACGGCTAGCTTATGTTCATGGATACGAAGACGAAGGGGACGTCCACTTTGGTCAATGTAGTGTTTTTCGCAGTTGTTACAATTTATTTTGTAGATGATGTTGGTTTTATCTTCTTTCGTTGTTGAGTCTTTTGGTTGACATAGAGCCAGCTGAGTGAAGTGATTTTGTTGGTTTGTGTACAACGTCAATTCCTAAAGGTTTGAAGAGTCTTGCAGTGATTTCTGAGATGTCCTTTATATATGGTAGGGCGATTTTCTTTATGCTTTCCTTAGGGGCCTTTGATTTGATAGGTTGGCTTGGGGTCTTTTGATGAAATTCCGTGGATATCCATTCTTTAGGAAGACGTCCATGAGATATCTTTCTTCAATTTTCTTTAAGGTGGGAGTGCTGCAATGAGTCCTGGCCCTCTTGAATAGTGTTTGTATACAATTCCTTTTGTGTGTTATTGGATTGTTGCTGTTGTAATTCAGTATTTGGTCTGTGTGAGTTGATTTTCTATAAACTTGAGTTTCTAATTCCCCTGTGGTTGTTTGCTTGACTAAGACGTCCAAAAATGGGATTTTGTTCTCGGATTCCTCTTCTCTTGTGAATTTGATGTCGTTGAAGACGTTGTTTATTAAGTTGTGAGTTTTGTCCAACTCGTTTCTTTTGATTATTACAAATGTGTCGTCTACGTAACGTATCCAAATCTTGGGTTTGATATTTGGTAGGATTATGTTTTCGAGCCTTTACATCACTGCTTCTGCAATCAAACCTGATATTGGCGATCCCATGGGTGTTCCTTGAACTTGTTCATATATTTGGCCGTTGAATTGGAAGTACGTTGTTAGGCATAGGTTTATGCATTCCATCCAGCTTGTGTATTGCATTTTTGATTGCTGTGGGAGGCTTTCGTCGAACACCTAGAAAATTAAGTATCCAGCTCAGGGAACACAACCACATCAAAATCATCCACCTGAACTACAAATCTTCTGCATCATATCTAAATCAGTGAATAACACTACAAGAAATCCTCTTAGGCGAAGACATGCTTATAACTACAGCCGACAAGGGAAACGTCACTGTGATAATGAACAGAACGGATTATGAAAAGAAAGCGATTGAACACCTATCCGATGGACCATACTCACTTATTGAAGAAAAGAAGACATCTGCCGAATTCAGCAAAATGAAACTAAATACCAACAGACTCCTTCAAGAAATAAAACCAAAAATTGGAAGTTCTCTTTGGTTTAAACGAAAAGATTCTATGGTCAACCAAAGATAAATAAACCCACAGTTCCATGAAGACCAATGGTAGATTTTACCGAATCACTGACATACAACCTCTCCAAAATACTTATTTTCGATACTGAAACCACTGAGAAAAGACACTCGAAATATTGTAAAAGATTCATATGATTTCAAATCCAAAATAGAACACCGAGAAATTGATAAAGAAGAAATTATGGCAAGCTATGATATTAACTCATTATATACTAATATCTCTATTACCGAAAGTCTTGATATCATTTCCAGTCTACTAGAATCAGATACAACGCTATCACAAAGATGTCCAGTGGACACCAGTGAAATAAATAAGGGCTTAAAATTCTGTCTGGAAAGTAATTATTTTACATTTAAAGGGAATTTATATAGACAGACAAATGGTGTTGCTATGGGTTCACCAGTCTCCCCAATAGTCGCTGATCTTTTCATGAATATATTTGAAGATAACATCTTTTCAAACATACTCACGCCTAAAATATGGTTAAGATACGTTGATGATAGTTTCACTGTGCTAAAACGAGATTTAAACAATTCATTCTTGGAGAAACTGAACAATCTATCTCCCAGCATCCAGTTTACTTCGGAAGCAGAATCAGATTTCGGTGAACTACAATTTCTAGACTGCCTAGTTAAGAGGAGGGGAAACGGATATTTTAATATATCTATATTCAGGAAGAAAATCCACTCCAACAAATATTTAGACTTCGGATCATCATACCCCATCAGCGCAAAGGTATCAGTTGTTTCAAATCTTCTTAGACGAATAAACCCTTTGATGTTAACAGATGAGAAGGAAAAAAGAAGAAGAAATATCAAACATTACTGAGACTCTCAAGAAAAATAACTACCCAAAGAACTTCATTAACAAAATCAACACTGACATTAAATATGGTCGAAAACACGTATTCCGAAGACATGGACCTCGACAGTTGTCATTTCCAAATAGACGATCAGAAACGTCAGACGATATCAGAAGAGTATGCTATAAGAAGGGCATCACAGTTTTCTTAAAAACATCAGACTCACACATACTACAAAGCAACCTTGTCCATATAAAAGACAAAATCCCTAAAGATTCTCTATCTAATTGTGTCTATAAAATAAAATGCTTGGAATGTGATGCAATGTACATCGGACAAACATCACTAGAGAGAAATCAAAATCAGAAGAAATGAACACCGTAGAGCCACCTCTGTTCGACCACTGACAAATCCAGCTGAACTAGAAAAGCTTGAAAAATCATCAGCCATACCTCGTCTACACTCTATAGAATCAGGCCACAAAATTGATTTTGACAATGTTGAAATAATTCAGAAAAATTTCAGAAATCACAAAGAACGTCTCACATCATCAGAAGCACTTCAATAAATGGAATTAATTGTCTGAACTGGATATGAATGATGGACTAAAACAGAATTTGACCTGGTTACACCACCCGCCCTCCTTCTCATGAAATGAAAAAGTCAACACGAATGTGATAAGCAGTTTCATTATGTAAACATATGCTGCTTCATCAAATCCAATAATCTATACTTGGTCTTGTTATGTTTACCGATTGGCCAACTTGAGAAGAACATAAAAATTACACCCTGCTGATGAACGATGATTAAGTTGTTATATATAAGCTGAGTAGATTTAGTAAATTCCGGTTTAATAATACTACTACTTTGATAAAGCTATTAGCAGCAGCATTAAGTAGTGAAACATCAGTAAAAACCATGTCGTTTTGTTTTTCATTCATTGTGAAATACAAAATCTTTTATAATAAGGAATATTATCCTCTATTATTTCGGTGAATAGTGACTACCAATGGAATCCAGGATACGCGTTTCTCTCTAATCGAGACTTGTCAACTAGATGTGTACCTGCAATCCCTAGTAAGTGATAGTATTACCACTGAGACTCGAACCCAGAGCCTATTACTTCCAACCAACCAAAAAATAACATCTTGGCAGTCTTCAGACACCATGGAAGCTACCGTACTGAGAACCAATGTGTCACCGTGAACTGAATAGTTCAGTCCAATATAATTAATCAACCGGAAATAAAAAAAATTAACTTAAAAATAAGCATTACCTTCTTTATAAATTGCCTTCGGTCCTCCAGCTAAAAAATTTTAAAAGAAAAATGCTCATATAGTTAGTGTATTACTCTTCTTGTGAATATAAACAAAATCGTTATTACATTCATCAATTCCAGTTGGAGGATTTTATCATGCGCTGACAAATCAGTTAGAGAACGACTGGAAAACCAACTGAGAGTATTGGAGAGCCGGCTGTTTCGTCAGCCTAGTTTGGGACTCTTCATCACTATGCACCCAACCCACTGCGAAGGTTCGAACCCAGGACCTTTCGTTTACAAGGTGGGCGAGCGAGCTCGTAGACCATTAAGCCACTGGGACCCGGTCCAATCAATGGCCAGTCCATGCTTCACCTTCAACTTGCTGTACCCTACTGGTCACGGCTTCCCACTAGAACCCCAGGTAACTAACTGCCTGAATAGGATCAGTCGCCAGTGAGCATCACAAATTGGCAATAGTTAGAATCTATGCAGTGAATGACCATTGGATTGGTGGGTCCCAGTGGCTAAATGGCATACGAGCTTTTAACCGGAAGGTCTTGGGTTCGAACCCCAGCAGTTGGGTGGGTGCGTACTACTGAGGAGTCTCAAACTAGGCTGACGAAACAACTAGCTGTCCAGTACTCTAGTGGTGGTTTTCCAATAGTTCTCTAACCAATGTCAGCTCATGATGAAACCCCCCAACTAATTTAATTTTGCTTTATAATATTTTATTTTAGTTAGATAATCACTTACATTACTGAAATTACATAAGACTTCAAATGACGCCTAGTTAAGTAGCGTAAGTGTGCTGTTTGCATTGCTTGCGTTCCTAGTGGAACATAGGGTGTTGAATTTATGGAGTGAGGTCACTAGCCTCTCGCTTAACCTCCCATTTCTTACAGTAAACTATGCAAGGTTTAGGAGCGCGCATTGTCTGGAGATTGATTCCTAACCATGTGCGCCGTCGGCGAAGATTCTACCACTGAACTATCGACGTACTAATGTAAGTAAATAGAAGATAGAGAGTTTCATCCTGTCGTGGACTCATCAGTTGATTGAGCTTGAATCTCATTGAGTGCTAGAGTTTGTCACTCAGACTTGAATCAAGCACCCATCCTTCCAAACGTCACTAGAGTGTAAATATTTCAATTCCGTAGAATAAATTTAACTCTGTGCACAAAGTAATTTCAACAAAATATATCGTAATAGTGGTTTGTATTTTCACTAGTATCTGGAAAGCAATCTGTTCATCAATGAGGATTATAACAATAAAGGAATCCCTGTGAAACAGGAGCTTCAATGAAATACACTTATTTGTTGTAGTGGGTAATTTTCCGTGTATTGACAAAAAGGTCAATTTATTGAATAAAAGAATATTCTTTTCGATAACCTCCTCTTCGTCATCAGCTTCTACAGTTATATATCCATCCATAATAGTGAATGAATGAATTAGTGTTATTAACAACAACATTAATGTTGTTTAAATAACATCGAATCAATAATAATAATATCAATGGATTACAGTTCGATAGCATCAACATAACAATACACTGAATATCAGACAGACAAATTAGGAAAAATAGTAATAATACAAATTCATGAATTTATAGTCTCCACTGAAGGTTGGTCAGGGCAGTAGTAGTGGTTGATTGGACATGCTTCCTCTACACACAGAGAACTGGTTGTTCCAGGAGAATCGCGATAGTGGCCTCAGTTGTTTGCGGTAACTGGTTGTTTTTGGCAATTTGTTTGGTACCCGATAGATGTTGATGGAGAAGGACTCTTCAATGCTAACTTGTTCTGTGGCTTTGGACCAGATTTTCTAAAATCGGGCTGTTGATGCTTCCTCAACTGAAAGATGAAGTACCTAGACTAGACTAGCCACTGCTAATTGTATCTACCAATTCAACTGCGCTTGCGGTGAAGCGAGTTATATTGGCAGTCGCTCTAGGAACTTGATTTTTCGTGCTCGCCTGAGAACATCTACCTGTGTGGTTCGTTAGTAAATATTCCAAACCTTTGCATGAGCAGATAGTGAAACATAGCGTCAAAGATGTATTTGAATTCGTAGACAAAGTCAAAGATATTAATATCAAGGATAAAACTATGATATCTTTGGACATAACATCTTTATTCACAAATGTACCTCTAGTAGAAACGGTCAACTACATAATATGTGAACAAGTGTATAACCAGTCGATAAATATTGGCATCTCGACAAAAATTCTAAAAGAATTTTATTATTAAGGTGTACCATGAATATAAATTTTAAATTTGATGGCACACTTTACAGCCAAGTGGACAGGGTGGCGATGGACTCCCCATTGGGTCCCATTTTGGCAGATTTCGTCCTAAGTAAACTAGAAAATGGAACTTTTAACAACCTTACCAGAAAACTCTCAAATATTGCCAGTATATGGATGACACCTTTATTCTTTGTGATAATCGTTTGAATAGGAACACAACAATAACTGAATTCAATGCAGTACATTCTGTTATGAAATTCACGCGCGAAGAGGAATCCCAAAACAGAATTAATTGCCTTCCTGGATGTCCTCCTTACAAGAAAACCAGATGGTAGCATAAAAGGAAATTTGCATAGGAAAAGCACATGGACAGGACAATATACACATTTTCATAGCTTCGTTCCTCTCAAGTGCAAAGACCCTCAGGCACAGGGTTAGAGCTGTTTGCTCAGAAGATGTAATTGAAGATGAATTAAGCATTGTATATGATACCTTGATTGAAAATAGCTATCCTGACAAATTTATCAAGAAACACATGACAAAGAAAGCGGAAAAGGACTACTCACTATCCGTAAACAAGAAGCCTTTATACATACGACTGCAATTCAAGGGCGATATACCAAGTGAAATAATTACGAAGAAATTAAGAAAATCAGTTCAAAGAACTTTTAATGCTGGCAAACTACAAGTCTTATTTTCTACACGACCGATGGTGATTCCTCGATTGAAAGATGAAGTACCTAGACTAGCCACTTCCTATTGTATCTACCAATTCAACTGGGCTTGTGTTGGAGCGAGTTATATTGGCCTTCTCTCTAGGAACTTGATTTTTCGTGCTCACTCGGGAACACCTATCAGTGTGGATAAATAAAGGTGTAGTGAGAAGCATCAACACCTGGTCCAAACTGGTCGCAAAGCTAATACCAAATAAATTGCCAAAAACATCCAGTTACCGCATACTCCAAACAACTGAGGCCGCTATCGCGATTCCCTTGAAACAACTGGTGCTCTGTGTTCAGAAGAAGCAAGTCCAGCCAGCCACTACTACTGCCGTGGTTGGCCTTCAGTAGAGACTATAAATTCATGAATTTGTATTATTATCTTTTCCTAATTTGTCTGTCTGATATTCAGTGTAGTGTATTGTTATGTTGATGTTATCGAACTGTAATCCACTGATATTATTGATTGATTCGATGTTATTTAAACAACATTAATGTTGTTGTTAATAGCACTAATTCATTCACTAATATGGATGCATATAACTGTAGAAGCTGATGATGAAGAGGAGTAAAGCAAGAACAACAACAGTGGTTTGTGTAGGATAATATGGTACCATCATTTATTTCCTTGGCTCCTCATCAGCTGCTTACAGCCTAAATGAATTGTGAGGTTTACTTACAGAAAAGTTTTAACATACTTGCAAATTTTACATGTTGTCAGTTGACAGAAAGTTCCACAATTAGGAAACAGTGTTCAGAAAATTGCGCTTATATAGTTCTTTCACAGGCAGTTCAAGTTTAAACAAAATAAATGTATGCATACAATGGTAAAGGAGTTACGTAATAAAGACGAGATATGCGTTAGATGCAGAGTGACTAATAAATTAGGTAACAGTGTACTGAGTTCAACTCAAATCATAGAAACAAGAGACAAGCAAAATTACAGATTATAAAAAGGGGTGAGGTTAAAGACAAAGATTACGTAGTCAAATGAGAAAGAGAATAAAGACATCCAGTTACCAGGACAAGAAAGGACTAATAACTGCTTCTTTCTGAACACATAAATCTAGTTTCATATTCCTAAATTCGTCTACTTATCTAGTTTAGCTCAGAGATTTGGTAAGGTTACAAAAAGCAATTTCGAAAGCCTACTGAAGACGTTCATCAACAGCTGCTGCCCCCTTCGCTCGATCAAATAGGCGACGGGAGAGGATAGGCAACAAAGAATTTTGATAGCAGACAAGCCTAACAAATACTGAGAAGGACTAGACATCCACTGAAGAGACCACTGAGTAGCAGCCACACACACCAGGCGTCAGTGGCACAGCGGTAGAATGCTCACCGACCACGCCTTATATGGTCCGGGATTCAATCACTGGAGACTGAAAGCACTCCTTTACCTTCCTAAGTCAGTAATAAGACTGGTAAAGAGGGAAAGTTGGGCATGAATGAGGCTAGCAACCCCATCCCCCATAAAAATAAACACCACTGCTACCGAAACTTCAAGCCTCTAGCTTGAAGCCCCCTATGTTCCACTGGGAACGTAAAGGATGAAGAAAAAATCATACACCAGAATCTCAAGTGGAATCCGAATGGAGACTGACGAGTTGGGGATGTATTCAAGAGTTACAACGGGGAGGAGGAATGGAAACGTGGAAGCTTGTAAACAGTTATAAGAGAAACAAACGCAGTAGAGATGTACTACAGAAGTCCCATGCTCCACTTGGAATGTGGAGAATGAAGAACAAGTAACAATAATAATAATAATTTAGACGAAGCAATAAGAAGACGTAATTTGTCTGAATCGTGCGTGTAATGTGCATTTGCGCAACACATTTCGAACAATCTGATCAAGCACACACGGACTTGTCATATGAATGTGTATATATGAAATTAATAAAGAGAGTTAAGAGGTGGGAAAACAAATTTAGGTTAAGCTAAAAGGACATATTTCTGCTCTGTTCGGTACAAAAGAGCCTTAGTGACCAGCGAGGTGCCTCTTCAGTAGAATCCAACGAATATGCACTGAAGACAGACACACTTGATGAAGAAGAAAGAAAGTTGACACAAACTCTGGTTG